TTCTATCTTGATTTGAAATCATCTTTCATCTCATCTCTCTATATTGTTTATATCGGATTATTATCTATCACAAAAGAGTGAAAAGATTGAAAGATCTTGGATTAAACAATTTGTGTAATTGTTGCTTTGGTGATAGATGATAAACCGATGTTTATGGGATTAACCTCTCTTTTACATAAGTTTTCAACAAGGTTATTTCCCGATAATGAGATGTGGTAGATATGCATTCTTTGGTGATGGACCTTAATCATGACAAGGATGAAATTCATGGAGATAAAGTGATATGTATCACTTCTTATCTCCTACTTTTTGATAGGTTCATATATATGATTTCCATGTTATTGTTATATAAGTGTGGGACTAATGTTTACTTGAGCCTTATCTTATTTAGTCTCCTTTACATTGAGAATATGGAGATCATGAAGGTATGTGTTTTTTTGGTTTATCTTTGTCATTGCTACATGCCTTCTCCATGTGTATAGGATAAACCCATTAGTTCTTCATAACTTATGCATACACTTGCCTCTCTTGTATATTTATTTGTATGCATATTTTTAGGGGGAGCAAATCCTATACATTTATTGTGCATGTTTTAGATCCACGTTGTTCACCTATTATTTATATTGGATCTTTGCATTTGAGCTTGCATACAAGTATATGACACTTGCGATGTTAATGAATACTCAACAAACATATCCACATCTTTCATATGCAACCGGTTGGTCACCAAGTGGAGGATGACAACCGATTTGTTGGTACTAATGTTCTTCTTTGAGATGTGCAAAGGAATAGGTCTAATTGTGATGAAGCTAATGGATGACACCATGGGTTGATGGTCACCAAGCCAAGGGCATCGCCGTGTCGACAAGAATGAAATCAAGCTTGTGATGAGAAGAAAGTCTTGACAAATGATGGTAAATACCTTGGTATAAACATGGTTGAATCAAATGGTCACAAGTGTTGATCTCGACTCAAGCTTGACCCCAAGATGGATGGCGCAAGGCAAAGGTATAATGTAGCTAAGAATGTTTTCTTAGTCTTTTCCCGGTCTTGGTGTTTGGTGTAGACCAGATCTGCTAGATAGGCGCCGTACTATCAAGAGGGGTCTATGAAGCGAGCTTGTGGATGATCTTGTGCCATATTAGTTCATATGCATGTAGGTGCATTTGGTGGGCTTGTCTAGCCAAGTGTGATGAGTTTTCTCAAGTCCTAAACAAGAGAGAAGTGGGCATGTCCAATAGGAGTGAATGACATTTTGTGGATATGTACGGTGGATATCCTTTGGAGTGTGAGCCCTTTATCCTTGACTTAAGTTGTGTTTCTTGGATAGTTTTTTCATGGGTTGGATGGCCCTTTGAATAAGCTTTCCATAGAGTCCAAGAACGCCAAATTCCGAGACCCGAGTCAAGAGATATCGCTGTTTTACCAACGGTCGGTTGAGCAGAAAAGTGACCTGCGGTCTGACCGTGGGCCTTAGGCCGGTCTGACCGGGCCTGGTAGCCGGTTTGACCGCGTGGTAAGGCCGGTCTGACCGGCCCCATTGGTCTGTTGCACTGGTCTGGTTTTTGGTGGTGATACAGAGCTGCCAGAGCTGCAACCGGTCAGACCGAGCCGATGGCGGTCTGATCGAGCCGTGGACGGTCTGACCGGCTACTACACTGCGGTCAGACCGGCCAGGTTGAGTGGGCTCAATGATTGTCTTGTAACGGCTAGTTTTCTAGCCGTTACAAAGTAGTCCGGTCTGATCGGCCACTCTATGGCGGTCTGATCGGCAGGGCACAAAGTTGGGGGATTTCGTCCCCAACAGCTAGTTTTGGTGGGTGGGAGTATAAATACTCCCCCACCAGCAGCAAGGGGACTCTCTTGGCACCCAATTCAATTGCATACACCCCTTGCACCTTTCTCACACCCACTTGAGCTTTGTGTTCATCCATCTAGTGTGTTAGAGGTTTGATCTAGCCAAGAGTCAAGTGCATTTGCTTCCATTGTAGAGCTAGTGTGGCACTTGATTGATCATCTCCACGCCGGGTCATTGCTTGTTACTCTTGGAGGTTGCCGCCTCCTAGACGGCTTGTGGAGGAGTTGCCCGGTGACCTCTCCGAGAAGATTGTGGAGGAGGCCCGGCGCCGTTTGTGAGTGGTTTGGAGTTCACCACCTTCGGAGTGAAGGAAGAACTACCCTAGTGATCGAGGCTTGGGTAGTCCTCTCCGTGGGCCGGCTCCCATCTTGCCCACCCCTTGACGAAGGGGGCGTGCGGTGGCTTCATGGTTGAGCGGTGGAGTTAGGCTCGCCTCAACGGGGATTAGGAAACCGATGAGTTTCCGAACCTCGGTAAAAAATTCCTTGTCTCTTGTCTCATTTATTTGTTGCATTTACATTTGTGCTATTTACATTCATAGAGACATATTTGAGCCTATATCACTTAGGTTTGTAAAACTTAACTTAGTTGCTTAGTTAACCTTACACCTCACCTTGCCTAGCAACTTAGGTTAGTTTTGTTTAAGTGCCATTAAGTTTTAAAACTGCCTATTCACCCCCCTCTAGTCGGCCTCCTTATCCTACATGGGTACAGTTGTACACATCTGATCAGAGTAAAACTATTCGAATAGCCGTGCCCACAGTTATGGGTGGTCGACCAGATTTACCGTAATTAGTCTCATCCCTAGTTTAGCTTAATGAACTGGTGTAGTTTAGGTGGTTGGTTGGGCCTGTTGCAACGTGGTGTAGCGTTGGACAGTGATTGGTTAATATTGCTTAATCTACTATAGCTGTTTTACTGCTTTCAACTACTGCTTTTAAATGCTAGCTTTATGCAAATGAACCTTTAGCCTCCTTTGGATATATCTTGCATCATACCTCCTCTTCCGGTATGACTTGCTGAGTACAGTGGGTAGAACTCAGTCTTGCTCTCTCTTCCCCACACCAGAGTTGAAGTTCTTCCCAGTTGGAGCCGTCTCGAAGAAGTTGGTTTTGTCGCTGCCGTCAAGGATGCCTGTGGAATGGAGTCACCCACTGCAGGAGTCAAGTCTTTAGGCTTAGTTCGCTTTTACCTTTTCCGCTGCATTTGTAATCTTTTATATTTTTGTAAGACGTGGATCTGTATGTCGACAATTGTCGTTTGTGTACCCTGGCTGGTGCTGGACAGGGGTTTAATGCACATTCAGCTTAGAAATTCTGGTTCGTGAATTTCTGGGCGTGACAAGTTGGTATCAGAGCCGAATTGAACACGTAGTCTCCTTAGTATCTCACCTATCAAGCAGTTCGTGAAGATATGATGGATGCTATTCTTTTGACTTCACCTCTCATAAAGTTGTAACAAATATTTTGTGCTCTAAACAACACCAATAAAAATGTCATCAACTAACTACTTGTAGATTGCGTTGAGCATTACAACTTTGATATAGAGCATCTCTCCATCCGAACTCAATTGCAAACCTCAAAAAATATTTTATCAAAATAGAACTAAGAGTGTGCAATAAATATTTGGCCACCCTAATCAAACTTAAATGAAAAAAGCATTCAACTATAAAGTTGTAGATCTAGTCGAGAACTACAATTTTTTAGAAAGTTTATCATGATCCTACTTCATATGAATGAGTTCTATTTTTTTTCATATTTTAGTGGTGCTCCTATTTATAAGGGTGGTTTTTATTTGAAGGCTAGTTTTGTTGAAGAATCCACCTTGTAAAAACATTTTCCCCTTTTTTCTTAAAAATATCTAAACTTTAAAAATTTATAGAAAATTCATGCTAAGTCCAATTGAGGTGAACCAAAGTACTCCAGGGTCCTAACAATATTGGCTAGTTAAAATACTTATTTTATTATGATTATTTACTTATGTTATATAGTCTGTTTGTGAGTTGATATGTTATGACCTTTGATATTAGTGAATGATTGTACTATAGAAAAATTATTCCCATAATAGAATTTTGGTTACCTCAAACAGATCTCAGATCTAATATAACTTTTTTTTTTTGACATGAAAACAGCAGGAGAGGCTCCTACTGCACTAAATATATATTATATATAAGAGAAATATTTACACAGGAAAGGAGAGAGGGAGAAAACAGAAAACAGAAAATTTACATAAAACTATCTATCCATGATTGCCAAAGTTGTTTTTTTACTACCTTTGCCCTGTGCACATGCAGGGCAAACTCTGCCTTGAAATCCATCTTCCATTTATCAATGCTCACTGGATTGTTGTTAAAAATAAAATCATTTCTTCTACTCCAAATGTGCCAGCAGACAATTGCCAAAACCTCAATGAAGATCTGCTGGAAGCTATTGTGAGCAGTGATAATCATATTCATAAATTCCATTGATAGATCCCATTGAATGCCAACATACTGCCAACATTGCTGCGCAAACTGACAGGAGAAGAAGAGATGCATCATATCCTCATCTAATATAACTTTTTAGAATTCTTTTAAAGTTTGGACTTCAGATTAAAGAACCCCTTGTAAAACTAGATACCAAAACTTATAACGGATGTTTAGGTACCTTAGTGTATAAAACCTTTCAACTATAAAGTTGTCTTGTCAAGATTTACAATTCTAATATAGAGCATATCTCTCCATCCGAGATAGTTTAGGAAACTAATAAAAAACAAATTTCAAATAAAACTGAGAGCAAAACACTAATATTTGAACTCCTAAACAATCTCAAATGAACATTAATTAAGTCAGGATGAATTATAAGTATATAGGATATTATAAAAAAATATGAAGAGATATATAGTATGTTTGCATGATGTTTAAGATGCAATAATAATAGATGATGGTATGACATCTTTACTGTTGAACTTTAGGATTTAGATTTACTGTTGAACTTTAGGATTTAGAGGGTTGTAATGATAGGATACGTAAGACTGCATACTTTTTCCTTGTTCGAGCTATTCTCTGACAACATATATGATATATGCATATTTGTCAAACGTGGGTGTATGTGTCACAGTTACCAAACAGAGATGAACAAGTCAACAAACGGTCCACCTAGCATAAAGCAGAACGGGAATTTATTTGGAAATGGAGCAGTACCGTATAGGCATATATATTTTTTCATCCTCGGTTTGCATTACTCCCTCCGTTTCAAAATGTAAGTCATTCAGTATTTTCCACATTCATATTGATGTTAATAAATCTAGACAAATATATATATATATATATATAGATTCATTAATATCCATATAAATATAGGAAATAATAGAATGACTTACATTGTGAAACGGAGAAAGTACAAATTAGGGTGTTATCAAGAGATACAACACGCGTTGGGATCTTCCTCGCCCAAAAACATAAAGTGGGGCGGGGTGTATTTCGCAGTCACAAACTCGTACAGTTCCGGCCTGGCAGCTGGTTTTGGTTTTTCTGGTTTTTTAAATTCGATGCGATGAACTTTTACAGCTTCATTGATGAGGTCTGCGAAGGTCATGCGAGGCTTCGTTGTCTGGTCGCAGATACCAGCGGCGATGTTGTTGAACCGAGCAGTCAAATCTGCATCCTTGCTGACAATTCTGTTAAACACGGTTGCACAGAGGGACGCCAATGCTTCCTGCAATTTCCAGTCATCATCTTGGGTACCTTCAAGGCCTGAAACTGCCACTCGCAGTATCTCTTCTCCTGTCAACCCCCAACCAAGTGCTTCTCTTAGCACCTGCAACATTACAGTGCTTTCGGTCATTCCGATATAAATAGGATGCATATAAAAGCAGTATCCCATCTTTTGGAGACTACTCTGATGGATATTCAGTAAGCATGGATGAAATTTTAATGATACAAGTTGTGCTTCAGTTTTGCTTTAAACAAGTTTGTTACCCATGGATTGCTGCGAATGTAGAGGTTGCCAAACTATTTAATGAGCTATGGTTTCGTGCATCTGACAATGTAGAGGCTGCCAGAGTTATATTTCATTATCATGAAAAAAAATGTTTGTTGACATAAGAAGTATAAATGACAGCGACTAACGTACCTTGGGTATCAAATCAATGATGGCCTCCTTCAGATTCTGAAGATGTTCCTCGTCAGTGGAGTAGGGACTACACAGATGATTGAGGATCTTTGCTGCAATTTTTCTGTGCATGCTGCTATATACGCTTGAACGAGTATCAGCAATACAATCAACAATATCATGACCATATTTCCTCAATATGATCGTGGCACTGCTTCCACTTCTTCTACATATCTGCACCAGATCATCACCTGCTAGTTTTTCAAACAAGTCGCCCTTGCTGTTGTGAAGAAACATGTCCATCAGGGTGCCGATGAATTTTTCTCTGTCACCTTCGCCCATAAACGAAGATGGATCCATGCATATTTCTTTGAGAATACTTAACTCTTGTTTCTTGAGGTCCAGATCTTCACCTGGCAGATTTCCAAAGTCGCCCTTACTGTTGTCAAGAAACATGTCCATCAGGGAGCCGATGAACCTTTCTCTGTCTCCTTCGCCCATAATCGAAGATGGATTCAAGTATATTTCTTTGAGAATGCTTAACCCTTGTTTCTTGAGCGCCAGATCTACACCTGCCAGATTTTGAAAGTCACCATTACTGTTGTGAAGAGACATGTCCATCAAGGAGCCAATGAACCTTTCTCTGTCTCCTTCACCCATAGCCGAAGATGTATCCATGAATATCCTTTTGAGAATCCTTATGGCGTGTTTCTTCAGCACAGAGTCACATTGGTCACACTCAAGAATACTCTCCAAGGTGCCGATTGCTTTGCTGCTTGTTGATATTTCATGCCACAGAATATTGTTTGATTTTGTAGGGCCATACATAAATCGCATAAATCGGCTTAGTATCTTCACCCCGAGCTCTGCCATACAGGACCATTCGTTATGTTGTTTTTTGTGAAGTGATCCCTTGGACGTTATAAGTGCCACAATCTTGTTGATCAAGGCCGGATCATCTGTGTTGCTCATGAGGAACAAGTTGTTCTTGTCGTAGGAGAGCTTTAAAAGGATCTGCATGCCTGTAAGTTGCATCTGTTTATAATCTTTGGGGTAATAATCCTTTTCTTTGACAGAAATCTGGTGATCATCCTCTTCTTCAAAAGAAAGTTGGTCGCCGTCGTCTTCTTGGAAAGAACTATGGTGGTCATTCTGAAATCCTTTCTGCTCGAGTTCAAGCAAGGAAGATACACATCGAATCCCCTGCAGGATTTTGTCTAAACGGACCTCACCAGCAAAGTGCTCAACAATCCTTGCGGCTCGCAACCTGATCTCTCCATCATATGCACTTTTGAAATCCAGCATCTGAACTAAGTTGTGGAGTATGGGACTGGAGGATGCAGATCCAATCATATTGTATATCTGCATACTCTGCCCCGGTAATTCGCTCCCCGATGCATCATCTCTATTAAACTTGATGAGTGTATCAAGAATCCGTGCACCTGAAAGGTACCCATCCGGTGATGTGGATTCCATCAGCTTGACAGCGTATGTGATCAGGTTCCTCCCTCTGGCAAAGGACGGGTCATTCTCACATCCGACCTTGATCTCATGTAAATAGTCCGAAACTGAACTGCGCGACACTGTATCAAACATGTATTTGTCGGCCACATCTTTCACTAGCTTCTGTTCTTCCCAAGCAGAGATGGCCCTGTAGTAGAAGAGGACGCCCTGGAACAGGGCCAGGGAGTAGAGAACCACCAGCGCAGGCTGCAGGTGTGCCTTGCTGCTGCTGTCTCCGGCCGTCACGCCGTAATCCTGCTGGATTAGACGCCACAGCGAAATCCAGGGGGAAACGAAGAGCCCAAACATGTAGAGCAGGAACAGCGGACACAAGACGATGGTGAAGACAAGCACTCGAACAGCACCCCTGAACCCAACCTTCTTATGGTTATGGGGCAACGCGATGAAGCGTGCGGCCTTGCACAAGCGCTTCAATGAGTACCCAATGTGGCTTACTTTTCCATTCAGAAAAACATCGAATATCCTGTTTCAGATATTTTTTGTTTGGATGGATGAATTTTCCGGTTAAAAGGACAGATACCGACAGTGGAAAGAGTAAGTACGGTTTTTTTGTTAGGGATGAACACAATAATAAAATAAGATTCAGTACATGCCATCCTGTCAAACTAATTTCACATTAATTAATGATCAAATTTACTTTTGGCGATCGTGTAAAATTAATTTTGCCATGAAAGAATGAATGCAGAGAGTAGCTCTTTCTTTTTCTTTTTTATTAACTATTTTTTTTTCTCTTCCAAAATTTGACATTTCAATTCTAGTATGGCATCTCTCTGAACATGCCTATGTGTCTGTCTGTTGTAGAATCATATGATGATTAATCTTGGTGATGAACAATTGTCAACGGTAAGTGTTGTTGAAAATACGGTGGATAGTATTTTCGAATGGTGAACACTGCGGTCGGCACCGGGTGCTTGTCAGACCGGGCAGGAGGCACCGGTCAGACCGGGCGGCCCGATGGTCTGACTGAGTGATTCCAAGAGGGAGTCGGTTTCGGGTTGTTTTTATGGAATTTCTAGATTGATTCATGTTTATTATTTCTAGATGGTTTCTATTCGTATGTGATACTATTGTATGCTGATGTGAGTCAAGTTAGCGTGAACTTGTACTCAGATATGGAGTTTCATTGTTATTCATGTGCAGGTGTTGCTTGAGGCTATGGGAGTATAGTCGGTGATGGATCAGGACTAGGCTCGGAAGAAGTTGAGGTCCAGACGGTCAAGGATGTCATGCGGGATGCTCAAGCTAGAGAACAATGTACATGGAGGTGAAGGTTTCCATATGGCATACACATCGTGTTGTGTGCATATGGAAAGAGGAGTCAAATTTCGATCGGAGTCCAAGTTTGGAAAGACTAGAGTTTGTAAAGTTTGTTTCTTATACGGGAAGGACTTTTTGTATGAGTTGGATTCGTGGCTAGGGACAGCCATGTTATCGGTATAAATAGAGAGGGAGGATGTTGTCTGCCGGTATCAATGGATAGAGAGTTGAGTTGAGAGATAAGTTTGGGTATCAAGTCTAGTTCGAGATTTTGGTGAGGAGTGATGTTGGTGCACTTTGTAAACACTAGTTGATGCAATAAAGTCGAGATAGATTAATCTACATCTTAGAGTTTTCATCTATCGGTGTTTTCTGGATCTCGACGGTCGATGGTTTGACCGAAGTATTACGAGCGGTCACCAGCGGCAATCAAGCAGTCAGACTGGCGGCGGCGAGCAGTGACAAGTAGAGAGGCGGTGGTCTTATCGGCCAGACAACACCTGTCAGACCAGCGGCATAGGAGCGGTCAGATCGGTGCGCACATGGTGGTCAGACCGCGTTGCACTGACTTCATCAACAAGGGTAACTTCTATGTCCGCTAAAAGTTTTTGATTTTTGGTGTTACAACCATTCACCCCTCTCTGATTGGCTTGGTTCTTTTTTTTCGATCTTACAAGTGGTATCAGAGCCATGTTCACTCTATTTGATCTTTGCCGATCTTGAGTTCTTGCCATGGCTAACAAGTTTATGACCTGGCCACATGTTTTTTATGGAGTCAATTTTCCTTATTGGTGCGAAAAGAAATCTTATATTATGTCTGAGAGTTATGATATTTGGCAAAAAGTTGCAAATCCTTATAAAATTCCTGCTTAGATTAATACTGTTGTTCTTAAGACTGATTTTAAAAACAATTGCAAAGCTCGCAATATTTTGCTTAATGGAATTCCTTGTTCGGATTTTGATCGTGTTTCTCATCTGCAAACCGCGCATGAGATTTGGAAGCCATTATCTGATTTTCACCAAGGGACTTCTAATATCAATGAAGTGCGCAAAGATCTTTTTAAAAGGATTACGTAAAATTTGAGATGCAACCTGAAGAGACTTTGGATGATTATCTTGCACGCTTTAACAAAGTTTTGAGTAATCTTAGATCTGTTGATTCCTCTTATGATACTTATTACACACAATCTGAGATTTCTCGACACTTTTTGAATGGTCTTGATATGTCGATCTGGGAGATGAAAGTGACTTCAATTTAGGAATCTGTTAACATGTCCGCTTTGACTTTGGATTCTCTTTACACCAAGCTTAAAACTCATGAGGTGAATATTCTTTCCCGCAAGATTGATCCTTAAATTAGTGCCTTGATCTCTTCTTTGAGTTCTTCCATTGGTGCTTCTTCTTCATCAGCTCTTAATTTTATTAAAGCCATGTCCGATAAACAACTCGAGTGATTCGAGGAGGACTTGGTTTAGGTTACTAACAAACTTTCTCAGGGTTTTGAAAAAGTCAAGAATAGGAAGCGAGGAGGATCTGTTCAATGCTTTCAGTGTGGCAAGTTAAATCACATCAAGTTCAATTGTCCTAACCGCAAGAAGACAAGCTTGGAGGAGAAAGTGAACAAGAATGACAAGAAGAAGGAGAGCAAGAAGATTCGCAAGCAAAGGCTAATTCAAGAATTGATAGAAGCTTTTGATAGTGAAGAATCAGAGGATGAAGATGAGCGCCATAGCAAAGGTAAGCAAGTTGTTGATTAAGTTGTTGATTTGGCTTTTACTGCTCGCAATGTAGACTCTGATGTTAATGAATCTGATAGTGAAAAAAAGCTTAGTTAAGATCAATAAGAACATATTGCTTTAAAATTTGCTGAGAAATTGAAAACATGTTCTAATTTGCTTAATGAGAGTAACCACACTATTGAATTTTAAATGCTGAAATTGTTAGATTAAAATCTATGGTTCCTAATGATGATGATTGCAAATCTTGGGAAGCTTTATTATCTGAAATTACTGCTTTATGAGATGCCAATTATGTTAATTGCTTTAGATTGGAATCTGAGGTTGAAAAAACTAACAAGCTTTATTTGTCTTTTTCTCTTGGATTTGCTTTGCATGCTCTCATGTTGTTAATGAGTTGACTTTGACAAAAGAACGTTTTGAAAAAAAATATAAAGTTGCTTTTTGTGCGTGTTCTTTGTTCAATGTTTTGAGTGCATAAAGGATTAAACAACACAAATATGTTTTGGTTTCTCCAAATTGCTCAAAGTGTTTTTTGAATGAAATGAGATTGAAAGATGCTTTAGGGCGTGTTGAGTATATGGAGGATCTTGTAAAAGCTGATGAGGTGCTTTCTTGTTCTAATTGTCACAAAGAACAATGGTGTTTTGGTTGATGATGAAAATTGTGAAAATTTGACAAAAGAAGTTTCTTATTTGGAAAGGTTTTCTGATGGTAAGAAGAAACTTAACATGATTTGGATAAGTCAAAAGTGAGTGCTTATAATTGTGGTGTAGGTTTTGATACCAATGCCCATTTTACAAATCACCGATATGTTGTCTTGAGCATAACTGAAAAAGGTGAAGTACAAAACCCAAACCTAAGGAGTTTTGCCGTCTCTTTCTTCGACGACTCAAGAGAAAAAGACTTTCATTGCAAAACCATCTACTTCAAAAATTTCTTGTCGTGAGAGATACACTTGTTCTTTTTTTGGAAAAGATGAATATTTGGTTGGTTTTTGTTTTAGACTTGTCCGCAAACAGAAAAAGGAAAGAGAAATTGCTTTTGCGAAACGACAGTGGCAAAAACAAGGTTGTGGATTAAGGAGCTTGGTTAGACCGACACTAACCAATCGGTCATACTAGTTGCCAATGGCGGTCAGACTGCAGGTATATCAATGGTCAGACCGGCGACTAGGCCCGGGCAGACTGCAGGTACAACTGCGATCAGACCGACCTCGGGGCGATTTTGCGCGTAATTCAAATCGGATTTTTGTGAAGCGTCAAGGTAAGTTTTCAGGTATGTTTGGTTCCGATTTTGTTCGTGCATATGTACCTACTGGTTCAGTGTTGGATTCCAAATTTTTTTATGACTAATGCCAACACGGAGGCCTCAACATCTTCATGTTCATAGGTATTTTGGCGGCATACTCCCCATGATTGTTTAGTGCGGAGACGGTGATTTCTTTTCAAGGTAACATCAATGTACTTTTGAGTTGACATAACTTTGTTCTACTTCTTCGTTTATAAGCTTTTCATGCTAGTGTTTGAAGAGGTAGTTTTGGTAATTCAAATGGATATATGTTAATTCATAAGAACCTTGGTGATATCATTGGCAATTAGATGTCTTTTTCAAAATCTTTGATTTCTTCTTGATTTTTCTTCAGGGAGAATTGGAGGTTTATTTGAGGGGAAGTTTGTGCTTTTTCGGTGCATTCATGTCTATATCCATGCATTGCTCTAAATCTGAAAATAAAGAAAAAAAATGAGAAAAAGAAGAGCTTTGGTATATACCTCTAGTATATTCTTGTGCATGCTAGTAAAATAATTGATGTATATTTGTTGATATGTTAGCTTGTATGCATTTTAGTCTTTTCATGTGGCTTGGATATTACTTTTAAGTGAGATGATGCATGACACTAATTCTTTTACTTGATTTAAGTAAATATGCAATGTTAAAGCAAGTGCTGAGTTTGGATGATTAATGCTTATATTTATACTTATTGGATTGTTATTCCTCAAATTGCTTATTGTTTATTCCAAATGTCACAGGAGAATAAAAAGTTGCTTATGATGAGAGAAAAAAAATGAATACAGAATCCTTGGAAACAGTATTGACGATAAAGCCGTATTTACAGTAAGGAAAATAATGGGTACCAAATCCTTAGAACATTCTTAACGACACGGACGTACTCGAAATAAATTGAGATATTTTATTATCAATGTCAAAATGAGCACAAAAAGCTCTAATACTTGTTGAAAATTCTCTTGGTTATTTTTGTGAAGAAGTTATTTTGAGAAAGAGTGATGATGCAATAGGTATATATATATATATAGGGATTTTTTTTCAACCTATGTACTTGTGAATATGTTGCATTATAAATCGTTTGAAATCATTATCTTTATTATTGACTAGAAAAAATGCCCGTGTGTTGCAACGGGTGAAGATTATTTTAATCTTATTATATTATATCGAGTTAAGATGAAATTCACTGTGTCAAATTCGCTTGGATATATATTGTGTTAGAAAATCATGAGCTGTAATTAGGTGTCCGAACGTCTCAAGTTAGTAGTATGTGAGTTTTTAAAGAGATTTCTTATACGATTTCTTCTGTATTTCCAAAAGCGAACGAACTTAAAAACTGACTCAAATACGGATTTGTATTTCCAAAATCAAACGGACTTAAAAACCGACTCATACGCGGATGACGTACTAAAATACTGACGAAAACATCTACAATTTTTATAATAGTAGAGATAGAAATATAATTTAAGAGGTAAAGATATATGTGCGCAGTAGCTTGATTGAATATTTCTCTGATTAGGTTTTCGTATTTCTCTTGGCAACCGTCATCGATCGGCTGCTGTTGCTGATCGTCTTGCTGCACGCGTGGATTTTCGATATGTGGGTAGTAATAGATCTCGGCTTTGATATCGATCCTGATCTTTTCTTTAATCTTTTTGGAACACGTATACACAGTAGACAATATTGGATTGAGTTTCTGATGAACACAGTAGGAATTCTTCTCGATACGGTGTGTGCGTGTAGAGAATAATCAACAATGGTACGTCGTGCTGCTTGCCTCGGCGCACGGCAACACACCTGACTGCTGCTGGTTGGTGTTGATATAGGTGCACGACAGCAGGTCCCAAACCGTGTTGCCGAACAGACCGTATCAGCAAGATGACAACCTCGCGGTGGTGGTTGGTTCGTGACAATGCACAGGATGAAACGCAATCGGCCAAAGGCACTGATCCGAACAAGCAAATTTTCTTATGGAAAATCTAATGTTTAAAGCTCATACATGTGGGGCACATAAATAATTAAATTGGCAGTAATTATGTGCGAGGCTAATTCGGACATGACGACTTACCAAGCCACCGGCAAAAACATCTTCAATTTTTATAATAGTAGAGATTTGAGCTTAATTGTAATACCTTTGATTCATGTTTATACTCTAATGCATGCTTGTTAACTAGTTGATGAATTTATCTCATTTGTCTTGCAACATATGACCATGAATTGCATTGCTTTAGGTACACTTCAAAGCTCTCAAAAAAATTTCAGAAAATTAAAATAAAAATTAAAAAAGAAGTGATTATTACATGTCACAATCATGAAATCATGACATTTGTGCTTTATTGGTTATATTCTCTTTTAAAATTCTTGATGAAATTATTATCAAATGGGGAGAGAAATATACAAAATACATGCTTCTTGAAAAGGGGAGAAAATAATTCGATTTTAAAAATAGTTGATTTTGCAAATATGGGACTTGAATATTTTCATATCAATGTAGTATATAAAGCCACTCTGGAATTGCAACGTTTTGCAGCATATTCGGTTCGCAACACTAGATCTGACAGTAAACTAGTAGCTAGCTAGCAATGCGAAACTCCAAATGCTTGGCTGAACTGGTTAATGTTGGGAACGCGAAATAAATATAAGTCTGGTGGAGATGGCTATAGATAGCTCACCTTGTTTGAACGAGCGTGATCACCGTGAGACTCCAGAAGTCCTTGTTGGATAGCATGGAGACGAATCCACCGAGGAGGATGACGGTGGACCACGTGAGCACCAGGAACCCCGTCCCGGTGACAACCATCGACAGGTACCCCATGAACACCGCATAGTCATTGATCAACAAGACCTCTGGCCAATCCGAATCAATGTGTAATCCAAGGCGATGACCACGGCTCTGTCCGGCGCCGGACATCGATCCTTCCTCCGCTAAACACCTGATCAAGTCGAGTTTGATATATACATGGTAAAATATTTCAGGTCCAGCCGTCTTAGATGATACTGGCTCTCACTGCATTTGCATGCTCAGTGTGCGCCAGGCACCAAGAAACCGGTAGGTAATAAACTCTAAACTGTACTAAACACTAAAATCACATCAACTCCCAGGTGGTATCCAAGTAAAGTTCCACGCCAGTTTAACCCCAAAATCCACAAACTACGAGCATTAAGGCCTATGTATCGACTCCCAGAGTCACAACCAAGGGTGTGTTTAGTTCACGCTAAAATTAGAAGTTTGATTGAAATTGGAACGATGTGACGGAAAATTAAGTTGAAAGTTTGTGTGTGTAGAAAAGTTTTGATGTGATGGAAAAGTTGAAAGTTTGAAGAAAAAATTAGGAATTAAACCTGGCCCAAGACAAGAAAGACGAAATTTTAAGGGATGATCACAAGCAGTATCTGCAGTCCCTTAATTACCTGCTTAGCCGCTTGCCGAACCCGGCCGGCCAGCCAGCCGCCGCCTGGCCATGCTGATACCTCGCTGCGGCGCACGTGCGCCCTCCGGACTCCGCTGACCCGCTGCTTGCTGGAGTGCTACTAGTTGGCAGCTCGTCTACTGAGGCAAGCAAGGGAGCGCTTAGCTGGGGACGACTGGGGTGGTGGTGGGTGGGCTGTACGTTTCAATATTAAACCATCGGAGAGCTAGAACCATCCTCTTTCTGCTGAAGTGTACTGTTAGTTGATAGTCATATGCTCCACAAGTTCTCTGCTGACCATCTAGCAATCACTACTAGCAAAAGAGTTTTTCGCTGGTGGCACTGTCAGCCGCCCGCAAACAAATGGCAAGTGAAAATAACAATCTTCACTAGCGAAACTTTAAAGCTTGTTTTCACAAGCGGTTAAGTTACGTTGACCGCCAGCGAAAAAGATATTCGAGCGAAAAAAAGAAAATTGAAAATCCGTTTCCCGACCACCAAGAAAAATTGATTTTGGAGAAAAAAAAACATGCCGGATCGATACCCGAGCTCCGCCGCCGGATGCGTCGGCCACGCCCCACCACCCCGAGCCACTGGATATGAGAGAGGGGAGGAGAGTGGAGGAGCCGCCCAGAGCCTATCCATCGTTGCAGCAGCCGCTGCTGTCGTCGTCCTTGAACTGGTTGACGAGAACCACCGCCATCGGATCCGTCCTCTCCACCATCACTGCTACCGATCTCGCCGCCGCCGCCGCCGTAGCCTCCACCGCTCCCCGCGCACCAGATCTGAGAGAGGGAGAGGGGTGGGTGGTGGCGGTGGAGGAAGGGGAGGAGGAGGATCGGGGGAGAGAGAGCTGGGACTAGGAGGCGGCGGATCCACCGCCGGATGGAGTCGCCGCTGCTCCTCCCATACCAAATCGTGCCCTCCCCGCCGGGCTCAACCGAGCCGCTGTCTTCCCGCTGCCACCACCGGTGGGAAGGGAGGCGGTGGTGGCTGGAGAAGATGAGGTCTAGAGATGAAGATGAGGATGAGGAGGAGGGAAAGCAGTGGTGGCAAGGTGGCACGGTAGGTGGTGGTTTTTATTGTGTTCAATTATTTTTTAGTGCGATGATGATTTTTTTTTCTTTTTTTTTTCTGGTGGACCTCTTAGCAGCCGACATCGAAAATTGGTTTTTGCTCACGGCCTCTTAAGAAGTCCGCTTGTAAACAATGGATTTTCGCTGGTAGCTTCTTAAGAGGTTCGCTTATAAAAATATTACTATTTGCTGGCTTATTAAGAGGCCGTTCGCTGGAGGTTCGTGACTTTGAATCTTTCCATTCAATTTTACAAGCGGTGTTTTGTCATGGCCGCCGGTAAAAATAAAAGGGTGATGTCATAAAAAATCATTTTTTACAGTGAATTAACCATTCTATGGAGAGGCCACAAAAGCGATGCAGGCAAGTGGGGATGTGATCATCAGGAAAAAACATCTGGTGTATACGGAACTGGTGTATACGGAACAGGATGCAAACCCCAGTCCACACGGTTCACGAATCACGATCCCGACACCATTGCTCTAGAGTGGTATCTACGGATAAATCTTGTCTAACTTTTTTTACAAAACTAGAAAGGTGGTAGCCCGCGCATATGCGCAGGCATCTTTTTATTTGATGTTGCTTGAAATTTTATTTTGGATGTTTTATATGTGGGTTACTTTTTCTTGAAATTCTTTGACTCTCTTCTAAATTTGTTTTTGTCAATAATTAGTTTGGGGTTGCTTTGAACATTGTAAGTATATTGGTTATGATACTCTTTGATCTACCCTTGCAACATATGAATTCTAAACTAATATTACTTGGAACCATGCAATCTTAAATTTATGAGAAAATATTGTGTCGCAATAATAGAGTTGATTACTATTAGACTATCATTTTGTACTATGTGTATATCTTTTTTGAATATTAGCATATCTTATTTTTTAAAAACTTTCGGTCACAAAATTTCTTTTATACTATAGATGTATTTATAGATTTTAGGATATATTTAAATATATATTCTACTTACATTTACTTCTGCGCCTTTCTTTTTTTCACATCACATCTCTTTTTTGAAAAAAAAAAGAGATCTGAAATAAGTAGGTGTGGATCATTTGTAAATGGTCCGTCACCACGGACTAATTAAAGTATAATTTTGTTTGGTTAATTCTTATTTTTATATCGTATATTTTCATTGCATGAATTCTGATATATAAGCTTAGTATGATTTGTATTCCCTAATTAACCAAACTTAGTATGAAACACCCATATCACAAATTTTACAAAATTTGTGTGGCATGGTTCAAATTGTCCCTTTTTAATAGGAATTAAAGAGAAAAAAATCGCATGCCCTATACTCCGAATACTTTTGGTTATTCCCATACTATCCTAACCGCTGAATAAAATGGACCCCAAATTTTATGCATCTTCAAATGATGATATAATCCATATCACTAATTTTTCATGATTTTTAATAATTCTCGATTTCCATGCAAAGCGCCAATATGACTTGTTATTTTTGGGCATTGTAGATTTAATTTAATGGTGCATACCTATGAACCAATAATGGATATATAGTGATATACTATATTACTGTTATCTTATTCAAAATTCTCAATAACGTTTGTAACATACCTGCATACATTTACGTATAGATCCCGGGTGGAGATGGGTTTGCGAGGTAATGGTTGTAAATAATAGATCCATTTTACTTTTATCATTGTAGAGTTAATTTAATTATTGTGAAGTTATATGTAAGATGATAAAATCTATATCATTATTTGTTTATAATCTTTATAACAGTTTAAATACTATGCAAAAGTCAGAAAATATAATAAAAAATGGCATATTTCTTTTCCAAGTGAATATGGATATTTAACACTAAATTTAAAAAGTTACATGTATGATTTAGATGTTATAGTTGTTTAATTTTGTAACACAAATTTTCTAACTTAATATAGCTTGAAAATAGAAGAAAAAGATGATGAAGGGATTGAGGGAGAGGGGAGTACGCACATTACGTATGTACATCCATCCACGTACAAGGACTCGAATTTGCTATATATTTGTCGACAAATTTTCCTCCAAAAATTTATCAGATGTAATTACAGTATAATCATAGTGTAATTACACTGTAACTTGCATGTAATTACACTGTAACTATAATGTAACTTGTACGTAACTTTCAAGAATCTCTCGGTAACATGTTATTTCAGTAAAATAGAGGTCGTGGGAACAAATCCTTTTACATATGTGTGTGCTGTGATTTTTTTCTTCTTCACCAGAACAAATTTTGTAATAGATCTAACGATTCAAAATTACGTGAAACTTAAATACAAGTTACACCGTAGTTACATGCAAGTTACAGTGTAATTACATACAAGTTACAGTGTAATTACACTATGATTGTATTATAATTATATATGTCAAATTTTTAGTAGAAAATTTGTCGACAAATGTATAGGTAGTCCCACAAGGACTTAGTGGAGCCTGGTTTTAGCGGTGGATTTTTCTCGAAGATAGATATAATAGTTTTAAATAATGAGTCCACCGGATTTGATGAATTTTGTATTAACTAGAATGCTATGTGGCGGCTTAGAAGCGTCCGTAGAAGGACACATGCCGGCTTAAGAGCGTTTTTAGGAAGTTTAATGGACTTTTAGTATGTAATAGATTAGGGTTTTTTTTTCACTTGAAAAAAGTGCCATTTGTGTTTTCAACCAGGTACAGTTTCCACCGGGATAATAAACCTTGCAGTCCTTGCAGCCCGAAAAGGTTAGGGTTAAGTCTATTTTGCTTCCCTCAATTCATGCTATGTGATGTTGATGTGTCATTAAATAAAAATAAAAAACTAAATAGGACCCACATGTAAGTGAGAAAATAATAAAAATAAATAACGGGTCCACATGTCAGGCACCCCTTTCTCCCCTTTACCCATTCTCTATCTTTACCCTTTTCTCTCTCCCTGGTCTCCGTTTCTTCTCCACATGTGACAGGTTGACAGAGGCTCGCGAGGGAGCGCCGGTGCAGCGACTGGTAGTGGACGGTAGCAGCGGCAGGACGGAGCTCGGATGAGCAGTCCCAAAACCGGAATCAATCAGAGACCGTGGAGATGACGCATGAGCAGGAGCCTATTTTTCCATATGAAGAGTCAACAGAGATGATGGGGTGATGGAATGCGTCGGTCCATGGTTGCATAGGAGGATAGGATGGAGACGAGGGAGAGGAGCAGAAATGCGAGGAAGTCAGCGTGCCTGAGCTTGCTATCCCATTCATGGTAAGATGATAGCGATGGTGGACGGTCGTCGAGGAGCTTTCAGAGCACCCTGTCCCTTGTCCACCCTCCCCCCTGCCCCCCGTCTCGGCGGCACGACCACTAGCTATAACCCCCGTAGTCCAGTTGTGGTAAGGCAATGGAGGGGCCAGAAATGGAGCACGAGTGAAGGGCAGCATGATACCAACGAAGGACAAGACTCCAGAGGATGCAATGGCGGGAGGACGGAATCGGCTTGGGCGGGCGTGGCACTTGATCCGCCCGTCCTTGCCGCCTGCAACTCCGGCGAAGAAGGAGAGAGGGAAAGGTTGGTGGCAGTGATGGATCCGCCTCCTCTCTGAGATGGTGGAGGGGAGAGAGCTCGGAAAGGATGGATTGTAGCGGTCCTATGCTTGCCTACCTTAGTTGTCGTCACCGCTGCAAAGGGAGGTAGCTGCGGCGAAGGCGGCGGAGAAGGAACGGTGTGGCACCGGTGGAAGCGATTTGATCTGGTGACCGGATGTCACACTCCGATTTTCTTTCATGGATTAAAATCAATTAATAATTCATTTCTAGAATATGTACTATTATATTATAAAATTTGAACATGTTTTAATGGTACGTCATTCGTATTTAAGATGGTTTTTATGTTCGTTCTCTTTTGGAAATACAGATCCATGTTTGAGTCGGTTTTTAAGTTCTTTCGCTTTTAAAAATACAGCAAGATTTGTATAAGAAATCTCTTTAAAAAAACTCGCATGCTAACTTAAGACGATAGGACTTCTAATTGCAGCTCCTGATTTTGTAAAAAAAATATCCAAGCGAATTCTGACAGTGAATTTTATCATAGCTAAACCGTATAACAATAATAATATTAAAATAGCCTTCACCCGCTGTATCACACGAGCGTTTTTTCTTATATATTAAAATATAAGGATTTATGAAGTGAATTAATGTGGGAAATAAAGTTTCCTTTAAAAAATCATGGCTAAGGAATATTTTTATAATATTCTCCATACCCTAAAATACTATCTGGAATGTTCTTGAATTTCTAGAGCTCAATATCTGATTTTAATAATAGAAAGTTCATTTCATCAACAACTTACATACAAAAACCAATTCAAAGTCTACTCTTTGTCCTTGGACCGTTTCCAAACCAACTGTGGTTTCCCTCCCCCTCCTTTCCACGTGCGGTCTCGGCCCGCTTCTCCATTTTTCTCTCTGTCTAGCCCAGCCTTCTCCGCAAGTCCGTTTTACCTCCCCATCCACCGGCCCACCTCGCCCCACTCTCCCCTCTCTCCACTGGTGGAGAAACCATCTTTGCTCGGTCGGCCAAAATCCATAATAGTCCCGGTTGCAATAAAAACCGGGACTAAAGATAGTTTAGAGCTGCTTTTTAATCTTTAGTCCCGGTAGTCCCGGTTGGTGTATTTCTAGTCCCGGTTGGTAACACCAACCGGAAAAAAAGATGCCTACTATCTTTAGTCCCGGTTCGTGTTACCAATCAAGACTAAAGATCTATTTTTAGTTCCGGTTGGTAATACCAACCGGAACAAAAGATCGTGGCGGAGAGTACGAGGCATATGCCATCTGCGAGATTGAGAAGGAGGAGGAGATGGGCAGCCTTATCTCTTCACCTCTTCCTCCACTGACCTTATCTCTTCATCCCATCTCTTCCTCTTCCTCCTCCTCTCCTCTAACTCCTCTCCTTCCCTCCCCCTTCATCCCTTCCTCTTCCTCCTCTCTAACTTCTCTCCTCTAACTCCTCTCCTTCCCTCCCCATCATCCCCACTGATAGATCGGGCGGCTGGCTGCCTCGCGGCGGCGCGCCGGCGGGCGGAGGCCAGGGCGGCCTCGCGGCGGGACGGAGGCCTGGGCGGAGGCCTCGCGGCCTCGCGGCGGCAAGGCGGCAGACCACGGGACCTCGTGGCAGACGGCGCGGCGAGCGGCGCGCCGGTGGGCGGCGCGGCAGCGGCTGCGGCAGCCTGTGTTTTTATTTCTTTTTTCTTTAAGAATTTGTGATTCGGATCTGTGTATTTGATTTGTGTGTGATGTCCGTGAATATGTGATGTATTTGTGATGAATTTGTAGAAGTTGTGATGTAATTTTGTTTTAAGATTTTGTGATCTATTTGACTATGGCCGATTTGGGGATTTGAGGATTTGGGGATAATTTATTTGGGATTTTGGGATGGGGATGGAGTGAAATCAATATATTAAAAACACAATGAAGAAAAGAAAAAAATAATAGAGCAACCGGATCTAGCTAGGCTAGCTGTATCTTTAGTCCCGGTTGGTGACATCAACCAGGACTAAAAATGGATTTTTACTCCCGGTTATTTCACCCGGGACAAAAGATAGTGATCTTTAGTCCCGGATTCATAGTCCCGGTTGGATAGCCGGGACTAAGGGGGACTACGAACCGGGATGAAAGATGCTTTCTCCACCAGTGGCCCTCTCCTCTCTCCCCTACAACTGGGACCAAGAGGCCGACATCTCATAATCATCTCCTTTCCTCTGACCAAATGAGTTAGCAACCGTTCCCC